GGAGAAACAGCACTGGAAAAATCCTTCCAGCAGCTGTAAATGGAGTAGATTGCTGGTGGTTATATGTAATAAACGTCACCAGACAAAGAATAACATGCTGAGCCTGCACAGTGAATCTTAGCAGAATAAATGAATCTGATAACCTGGTTTGGCGCAGAGAAGACCGTCCCTTTAGTACATCAAGTCTGAGGATTACAACAGGCACACTCCTTGGCTGAAGGTCAGGGAAGGGCTGAGGGGAGTAATTTGTGAATCCCCAGAGGTGGTGGGTGGAGGACAAAGTGGTGATGGTGGCAGAGCCCATGTTGAGGTGTGTGTGTGGGGGGGTCGTCGCTGAGTACACGGCAGCTGCAGCCCCTTCTCCTTGCAGGCTTTCAGACTTTGATTGTGCTGAAAAATATCCACAAGAAACAGAATATTGACCACTGGAGGATCTAAGAGACATTAGAAAAGGTTGGGTAAATCAAGATCAAGATATATCTATTTTTTTAATTCTCACCCGAGGATATATTTTTTATTCATTTTTTAGAGTGAGAGGAAGGGAGAGAGAAACACTGATGTAAGAGAAACATGGATTGATTGATTCCCTCCCATATGTGCTCAGACTGGGAATTGAACCTCCGAACTTTTGGTATATGGGGCAGTGGTCCAACCAGTTGAGCCACCCAGCCAGGGCAAAATCAGAGTATTTTAACACTTCAGGGGAAATTCTGTATTTCAAAGAGATAAGGCTTTGAAACACTATTGGTGGTGTTATGTTGTATCTTTAGCTTCTCAGAGGAGTCAGTGATTTCCAACATTAAAAGCAAGAAAGTGCCCTGGCCGGTTTGGCTCAGTGGTTAGAGCATCGGCCTGCGGTCTGGAGAGACCCGGGTTTGGTTCCCGCTAAGGGCACGTACTTCGGTTGCAGTTTGTCCCCGGCCCTGGTTGGTTGTGCGGGTGGCAGCCACTCGGTGTGTCCCTTCACGTCGATGTTTCTCTCTCTCTCTCTCCCTTCCTCTCTCTCCCTCCCACTCTGTCTGTACAAAAAATGGAAAAATATCCTCGGGTGAGGATATATTAAAAAAAAAAAAAAAAAAAAAAGCAAGAAAGAAACCTGGGGTGGAAGTAAGTAACACGGAAGTGGTTTGATATCCATCCGGCTGGTGGACCACAGGTGGCAGCTCTGTCTACAAATAGAGGAGGACGATTTGGGGAAATTATACATAGAAGTAAACTTTCGATATGTGACTATTTCAAGACCAAATGCCATGTTGAATTTCTCCTGTTGCACGTTGGTTCATTTCTCCTGCCAGTCACACAAATAATAATAATAATAATAACAATATGATTTTCTGTAGTTATTCTTTTTGATGGTTATCTACGTCTTAGATTCTCAAACTTTAATGACCGTATAAGACAATGGGGAATCTTGTTAAAATGTAAATTCTGATTCAGGAATTCTGGGGTCAGACCTACTGCATTTCTTCTAAGAAGCCCCCGAGTGATGCCGTTGTTGTGGGTCTGAGGATTTAAGACACTGCGAGCTACACGTCACTCTGTTTCAGCAGCCAGTCTGCTCTGGGTGAGCAGAGGCATATACCTGGTTTAAATGTGCAACTCAAAAAAGTGCCTTACTGATTTAAATCTACTGACTGTGAAGGAATCAAATCATTTATGGAAGGATTTGATCACCGTTACCCCTCTTTACCCATTTAGCCTCCCTCCCCCAACTTTGCAACCACACAAAAGTCAGGCACAGTGCCAGGCACACCCAAATTTTCTCAATCGTAATCTTATCACAGAGAAATCAAGTGTGGAAATTTCTTTTCTTATCTTCTTTTCCCACCCAAATTGAAGTCAAGTAATTTAATAAATGTGACTCTAAGTTCCATGAGGACAAGGTTCGGTCTTACGCACCATAGTATTTCTAGGGTGTGACAGAGCCTGGCATGGTTCAATGCCCAAAGAATGTTTGTTGGATAAATGAACGAATTAATGAGCATTTGTTATGTTTCACCAAAGTGTGACAATGCCTGTGTTTGAATAGTGCCTCGCCCTCTACAAACTTCATGTGTATAGTCTCTCATTGGATCATGCAACAACCACATAGAACTGTTGCAACCCCCATTTAATAGATAAAGAAGTAAGATGGAAAGCATTACTCAAGCATGTGTTAGACATAAATAAAAGTGAGGCTAGGTTCCAGGATGCTTTCATTTCATCAGTGGTCTGACTCTTCATACAACTTCACCCACTCCGATGAGGCAGATGTGCGTGATACTTCACAACTTGCAATGCCTCTTAGCTCCCTTGTTCTCATCAGCAGCCAACCAAGGTGGGAGTGATTATCTCAACTTTATCGATGAGGAAACTATGTCCACGCCACATTACTAGGAGGAAAAGCCTAACCTGACATCAGGTTTTCTGACTTCAAATACAGTTTGTTTTCCACTGTAAAACCAGTTACATCACCACCCCCGTCTGTCCCCAGCCTTATTCCACTGTCAGACACTAGCTCCTCACCCATCCCACTTCCCTGCTTACATTACTGTCTGTACAACTCTGTGTAGCCGTGGCGTGGAATGGACATACTTATATTTCATATCTTCCTGCTGTTTATATCACACCAACCAGTTTCTTATCATTGTCCTCTTACTTCCCTTGGAGCAGAAGAGTTTTCTTCTTCATATACCCAATTCTATCCTCTTAAGTGAAGGCCCAATAGATGACATTAACTGATGGGGCATCTAATCTGTCAATATTTTGAATCTCTTTTATTTCTAACAGGACTCTAGAAATAAATGAATTTTGCTATTTGGTATAGGTTATTATGTATCTAAGGTGATAGCTGTTTAAGAGGCTGATAGAAAATAATTTGTATTTCCAAAATTAAATAGGGAAATAAAAACGGCATTAACAAATGGTTGGAGAAGCAGTGGGTGCTTAGATGTTAACAGGATGGTGAAAACCTGGCCATTTGGAGAAATCCATTCATTACTTTTGGAGCATATATTCACACACACATACACATCCCTTCTACTTTGCCTTATAATAAAACTAACTGTTCAGCAGTCATTTAACTTTGTTTTCTGGGTTTATTTTTAAGAGATTCTTTTTAAAGGGGTTGGATATTTGGACTTCTTCAATTTGATCTTAACCTCAGGTCTCAGTAATGTGAGAATATAGAATCTGGGGTATGCACCCCCCACTACACCTTTGGAAAATTACTTTAAAACATTTGGAAGGTTTGCATTGGCGGGAGGGTTGGGGGGTAGGAGCAGTTTTATTATGTACGTTCTTTTATGGGTTGTGGCCAGATATTTTCAATGTGCTATTATCCTAGTTTTATGGAGTTCTTGGACCCTGTGGATATAAACATCTGGGAATAAATGGTTGACTGCGAGCTATATGCTATTCTGCCTGGGAAGAAATACATTTGTGTTGCATTTAAAATTTAATGAATTATTCACATGGGAAGTAATAACTTAATAAACATACTAACCACACATAAGCAAAAGTAAGAGATTTTTAAAAATCTATGTATAAATGTTTCATTTGTGCGATCGAATCATACAGATTTCTGTCTTCCGCTGGCGCATTGGGAAGGAGACTAAAGAGCAAAGGACGGAAAGGCTCCGCCACGTACGTCCTTGCAGGGGTGGAGCTGAGATGGGACATGAAGTTGGATTTCATGGTACTTGTTTTTTGAGGAGAGAAAACCGACATGTCTATGAGAAATTCCTCTTTTGAAAGCCTTTTCGATTCTACAGTTTCTCAGACCTCAGTGCTATAATAAAATAACTCTAACAATGTTCTTGTACAACTGGGTCTTTTTTCTTCCTTTAGCCTCACTTTTTCCTTCTCTATCTTCTTTCTTTTCTCACACTTTCCAGGGGGAAGCTCTGACACATCCCAGTGTGTAGGGATCCAAACCCCAACCCCCCGCATCACCACTGAGCCCCATGTATTTGACGTGTGAGTTCCAGTCCCACAGCCAGTCTCCTTCTCTGCGGATTCTGGGCAGTGTAGGGATAGTGATCCGCAGGTAGGATAATCCCTCTGGTCACACCTTTAGCGACTGCCGCAGGAACGGTCTGCGTTTGCACTTTGCCTGGGACAGGCTTTCTAAGAGCGAGAATGTAGCTGGAAGGAAGAACTCCTCCCCTCTCTGGTGGCTGCGCTCTGACAGGGAGCTATCATCGTCTAATAGATCCCAGGATAACAGCAGCTCACATACTTATGGCAGAATTGAGCCTGGGTTATATCCAGCTTTGATTTTGCTCTTCAGATTAAAATGGATCCAAGTCGAGAGAAGCAAGAAATGAGGGAGAAGGGAAAAAGTGGGAGCACGGGGAGAGAAAGAAAATGAGGACGAGAACACATGTGCGTGTTCAAAACCCTAACAGCGTTGGGTGAGAGCCATTGAATACCTGGTCCACTGCAACTGTAAAGTCTGCTTTCACCATCAGGAGTGGGGTTCAGCATCTGGAAGTGATTTCATTCTGTGATTACCTTTGGACTGCAATGCTTGTTGGTTCTTTGCTAACAAGCAAGCACAGACCCAGAGCAAGCCTTTCATGCTAACAAGCAAACAAGCCATCAGGCTGCAGATTTCAAAACCAGAGGCAGGAGGCGGATGTGAAGTGGGTCAAAATTCTGCGACTTCTCAGGGAAAAAAAAAAAAAAAGGTTGTGAGAAAAAGGGAAAAATATGTCCCTTTGTCTTTCTTAGTCCCTCTAAAAGCACATGGAAAAGTCAGCAATTATTTCATAGCTCCTATGTCCTCCTATGTATTTCTAAATGTTCGGAATGCAACTAACACAGCCTCAGGCAAGCAGTAAAAGACACTCTGCTGAGCTCAACTCCAGAATATAAATTTGGTGAGCAAGGCGATGGGCTCTCTTCCTTCTGAAACACTTGGGGGCCTCAGGTCTCGAAGCACGAAGGTCTGAGACCATGTTCCCCTTCTTTGTCCAGATTCCCTGAGGAAACGCCCGTTCAAATATGGACAAAGATCAGTGCTCACTTCAGCAGCACATGTACTAAAACGGAACGATCCAGAGAAGATGAGCACGGCCCCCGCGCCAGGATGGCACGCGGATTCGTGAAGCGTTCCACACGTATTTTTTTTTTTTTTAAAGAAGAAAAAATATGGACAAAGATTAAAGAGGTGAAAAATGTGGAAGATCAACTTTGCTTCTCCTAATCTATCACATTTTGTTCTCTGCAAACTTAGGCAATAATCTATTCCAATTTTGAGATAGTTCATTTTGATGGAAGCCAAATACCCGCCTCAGATCTCCAACAACTATGATTATGATTTAGACACATTGGTGCCGTAGAGAGCTGTCTGGGTTATCAGAGTGACTGTGAGTTTTTAGCATTGACCAGTTTTAATTAATCAGAAGGAGAGGCAAGCCAGGCTGATCAAGAGCTGATGGTTTGAAAGAAAATACTTTCTATTAAAGACTGGAAACGGAATAATAATGATAACAAAAGGTGCCAGGCAAAACCCCACCCAAAACCCAATGGCATGAATTCTATTATTACTCTCAGTTTATGGATGAGGAAATGAAGCTTTAGGGAAATGTGTTTGCCCAGAGTCACACAGGTGGTAAAAGCAGAACAGAACCCGAACCCAGGGGTCACAGGAGAAAATTCACTGGATTTATGCTTTAGGCTCACTCTCCTTCACACACTGCAACCTAACTCAGCTTCCCCCGGGATGTGCATGTCCGTGGTGCATGCGTGCAGCTGCATCACTGCGTGACCTCTGCAGGGAGATGGTCGATGTGGATAATTATGTGTATGCCCCGCTTATTCAAAGAGATGAGCCAGAGTTATGTCCAGAGGGATATGACCACTACATCCCTGCTCACGCCGTGTGTCGGCCCTGAAATACGAGGCTGGATCCCTACCCCATGGCATTCTAGCCCCGTGGGTGCCCCTCCTCTTCAGTGTGTGATGGACGTAGTGGTGGCTTCTAATAAATAAAATAGAGCATAATTGATGGGATGTCAGTACTGAAATCAGATTACAAAAAGACTCTTTCCCGGCTGGTGCCCCTCTGAAGGAAGCCTGCTGCCATGTTGTGAGCTGCCTTATGGGGAGACCACTTGGCCAGAAGGTGATGCTTCCAGCCAACAGCTAGCGAGGACCTGAGGCCTGCTGACAGCCAGGAAGCTCAGCCTGGAAGCGGATCCTCCCCCAGTTGAGCATTGAGATGACTGTAGCCCTCGCCAACTGCAGCCTTGAGAAAGGCCTTGAGTCCAGGGCACCCGTCTTCCTAATGATCGGAAACCAAGGTGATAACGGTTGTTTTAGATCACGAAGTATTAAATTATAGGAGTCCTTCCTTATCTGCAGCTTCACCATCCACAGTTTCAGTTGCCCACGGTCAACGGTGGTCTGAAAATATTTAATGAAAAATTCCCAAAATAAACAATTCATAAGTTTTAAATTGCACGCTGTTCTGATAATATAATGCAATCTCACTTCCTGCTCCGTCCTGCCAGGAACATGAATCATCCCCTTGTTCAGTATCCTCACTGTACACGCTCCCCTCTTGGGAGTCACTTAGTAGCTGTCTGGGTTATCAGATCGACTGTCAAGGTATTGCAGTGCTTGTGTTCAAGCAGCCTTAGTTTACGGCCCCAAAGCCCAAGAGCAGTGAGGCTGGCAATTCAGACGTGCCAAAGAGAAGCTAGAAAGAGCCTCCTTTAAGTGAAAAGATGAGTATAGTACAGTAAGATATTTTGAGAGAGAAAGAGACAACATTCACGTAATGTTTTATTACAGCATATCCTTATAAGTGTTCTATTTCACTATTAGCTATTGTTGTACCCTCTTGTGCCTAATTTATAAATTAAACTTCATCAGCCCCGGCCAGTTTTACTCAGTGGTTAGAGCATCAGCTCACAGACAGAAGAGTCTCAGGTTCGATTCCCAGTCAAGGGCATGTACCGGGTTGCAGGTTTAATCACAGCTCTGGTTGGGGTCGTGCAGGAGGCAACCAATTGATGTGTCTCTTTCACATTGATGTTTCTCTCTCTCTCTTCTTCCCTCTATCTAAAAAAATCCCTTCCACTCTATCTAAAAAAATCAATGGAAAAATATTCTCAGGTGAGGATTAACAAAACAAAACAAAACAAATTGGCCCTGGCCAGTTTGGCTCAGCGGTTAGAGCGTCGGCCTGCAGTCCACAGAGACCCGGGTTCGGTTCCCGCTAAGGGCATGTACCTTGGCTGCAGTTTGTCCCCGGCCCTGGTTGGGTCGTGTGGGTGGCGGCCACTCGATGTGTCTCTTTCTCATTGGTGTTTCTCTCTTCCTCTCTCTCCTTCCCGCTCTATCTGAATAAAAAAAATAAAAAAAAAAAAAAGGAAAAATGTCCTCAGGTGAGGATATAATAAAATAAAGTAAAAACAAAAAAAAATTAAACTTTATCATAGACATGTATGTACAGGATAAATCATAGTATGTAGAGAGACAGTACTGTCCATGGTTTCCGGCATCCACTGGAGGCCTTGGAGCATACCTCCTGGAGATAAGGGGGGGCTACTGCAGCTGTTTACACAGCATAGACACCTAGCACCTAAGGGTGAAGGGGAGAGTAAAGCCTCCCTTCTGTGAATACCACTGAGAGAGCTGACAAAACACCCTGGTTCATGGGGTGGAGCCAAGCAGGCTTTCTTTGGACTACTTCCTGTCACTGGGACCCCGCCTAGCTGGAGCCAGGTTGCTGCCTGAGGAGTGGTCCATCTATCTGTGCTAATCTGTGGATTTCTCAGCTTTCTCCTGATCTATGAATTACATCATGATTGACTATGCTGATTGGCTGAGGAAAATGAAAGAGACCTTAAATTTTTACGTCTTGAATAAAGAAGCAGGACTAGCCCTGGCCAGTTTGGCTCAGCAGTTAAGAGTGTTGGCCCACAGACCAGAGAGTCCCGAGTTCGGGTTTCGCTAAGAGCACATACCTTGGTTGCAGTTTGTCCCCGGCCCCGGTTGGGGTCGTGTGGGTGGCAACCACTCAATGTGTCTCTTTCAGGTTGATGTTTGTCTCTCTCTCTCTTCCTCCCTCTCTCCCTCCTGCTCTATCTGAAGATAAATGCAAACAAAAGTGTCCTCGGGTGAGGATAAAAAATTTAAAAAAGAAGCAGGGCTAAGGCAGAGGCATTCACTCAACAAATAGTGAGAAGAAAAACAGCCCCCATCCTGCCCTCAGGTGGTTCGCAGAGTGATGGGCACAGCCCAGGGCCAAGTGTGAGTCACCCTGAGAGACAGCCAGCAGCCTCATAGCTCTGCAGGACAAGGAGTCAACACAGCACAACACAGACTACCAACCAAAGAATAACAAAAATAATTAAAATCTTTATAAAGTCTCTTGAGGTAACATCCAAGTAGAGAGTCCATTTTTTTAAATTTATCTTTATTGTTGAAAATATTATAGATGTCCCTCCTTTTCCCCCCACTGACACTCTCCTCCCCTCCCCTGCCCCCCTCCCCTGCCTTCACCACACTGTTTTCTGTGTCTATTGGTTATGCATATAGGCATATCAGTTCTTTGGTTTATCTCTTCCCACCCCCTACCCACCTTTCCTCTGAGGTTTGTCAGTCTGTTCCCTACTTCCATGTCTCTGGGTCTATTTTGATCATCAGTTTAATTTGTTCATTAGATTTCACAAATAAGTGAGGTCATGTGATACTTGTCTTTCTGTGAGTGGCTTATTTTGCTTAGTGTAATACTCTCCAGGTCCCTCCATGTCACCTCCAAGGGTAAGAGATCTTTCTTTCTTACAGTTGCATAGTATTTCATCGTGTAGATATACCACAGCTTTTTTTTATCCTCACTCGACCTTTTTTTTTTGCATTTATCTTCATATAGAGAGAGAGGGAGAGAGGGAGGAAGAGAGAGAGAGAGAAATATTGATGTGAGAGAGACACATCGACTGGTTGCCACCCACACAACCCCAACAGGGGCCAGGGACAAATTGCAACCAAGGTACGTGCCCTTAGAGGGAACCGAACCCAGGACTCTCTGGTCTGTGGGCCAATGCTCTAATAACCACTGAGCCAAACCAGCCAGGGCTACCACAGCTTTTTTTTTTTTTTTTTTTTATCCACTCAACAACTGATGAGCACTTGGGCTATTTTCTGATCTTAGCTATTATGAGTAGTGTTGCTGTGAACATAGGGGTGCATATATTCTTTCTGATCAGTGTTTCAGGATTCTTAGGATATATTCCTAGAAGCGGGATCACTGGGTTGAATGGCAGTTCCATTTTTAATTTTTTTGAGGAAAGTCCACACTGTTTTCCACAATGGCTGCAGCCGTCTGCATTCCCACTAGCAGTACTAGGGTTCCTTTTTCCTCTACATCTTTGCCAGCAGTTGTTGTTTGATGATTTGTTGATAGCAGCGATTCTGACAGGTGTTACCTCATAGTCATTTTAATTTGCATCTCTCTTATTACTAGTGATGATGAGCATTTTTTCATGTCTCTTGGCCATCTGTATGTCCTCTTTGGAGAAGTGTCTATTCAGGTCCTCTGCCCATTCAATCAGATCATTTATCTTCCTTTATTGAGTTGCATAAGTACTTTATATATTTTGGATATTAACTCTTGTTTCAATGTGTCATTGGCAAATGAGTTCTCCCAGAGCGTGGGTTCCCTTTACATTTTGATGCTGGTTTCTTGGAGGAAGATATAAAAAAGTGGATGAATTGTAATAATCAACATCATTAAAATGTCCATACTACCCCAAGCAATCTACAGATTCAATGTAATCCTTATTAAAATACCAACAGCATATTTCATAGGTCTAGGACAAATACTCCAAAAGTTTATATGCAACCAAAAAAGACCCCAAATAGCTACAGAAATGTTGAAAAAGAAGAACAAAGTGGGAGGGACCACAGTACTGGATATCAGGTTATACTAAAAAGCCATTATAATCAAAACAGTCTCCCAATGGTATAAGAACAGGCATATAAATCAATGGAAGTAACAGAGAACCCAGAAATCAACCCAAGACATTATGCTCAATTAATATCTGACAAAGGAAGCAAGAGCATACAATGGAGTAAAGACAGTCTCTTTAACAAATAGTGTTGGAAAATTGGAC